AGTAATTCCTCCTACTGTCTGTCATTAAATACTCATTATGTCAGTTTGGAGAATTTGGTTTTGAATCAACTTGTAGTCCCCTAATTGAGTTTTCTGCTTTATTCTCCTCACTTGTCTGCTTGATACTGTATTGATATTGCAAGGAGAAATTCTGTCTTGGTCACTCATGGGAGCTAAAAAGTTAAACTTGCCTAGTACAGCCTATTTACCGTTATCAAGTGAAAAGTGATAAGTACAATTGGTCTTAATATTTAAGAGGTTATATTACATCCAGGAAACCCTGTTGGCAAAAAATGTCTAAAACTATGTCTGTTCCTAATAGAATTTCCATAGCACTTTGCATGTATAGCAAAAATAACAGAAATGCGATCAAGTACATGTATAAAGAGGGAGGGGGGGGGGGGGGGGATATCACACGGTTTTCAAGAGAACGAAGGGTGGGTAAGTCGTCGACAGCAGAATTTAAAGGGACATTACAGAAGATTAAATTGATTGGTTGATTTTTTACTGGCATTGTAATATGATCTTTTACAGGAAACATTCCATTTGAAATGAATTGAAAACAAAACAAATCAAGAACATTTCTCAAAGTTCCTACATTGACAACTCCTGTTTATGGGCCCATAGTAACCCACTTGTGAAGCTGCTTCCTTGTTCTATGATATCTTTACAGGTGGTTTTTATCAGGATGAAATGGGACAAGTTGATTGTAAAAGATGCAGTAATGGTACATTTGTTTCTGCACTGCATAGTCCTGGGACCAAAGCGACCGATTGCGTGGCATGTCCTTACGGTAAATATAATGTTTGCTGTGTACTGTAACTTTTTTTCAACTTGACCACGCCTGAGGACACTTCCTACACAGTCAGAAGTTTCAGGCATCTTATTTAGCCAAAACAAGTCTATTTCTTCATAATGATAATCTAAAATGGATGATCCAAAATTTTACTCGGCCTGAGAACAGGTGGACGAGGCAAAAGTGATTGTTGATCTTTTTTTGGTGTATGTGTGATTGTTGTGGACTTTGATTCATTGCAGAAGAGAGTTAATTCAGTGCAGAAGAGGGTTAATTCAGCGCAAAGAAAGTAACAAATCAGACATTCTGATTGGTCAATAATCAAAGAACTCACAGATAGCCAATCAAATGCGACCCTTGGATGTCGCAACAAAATGTGAAAAATTGTTGGCGAAACAATGGCCGGAGTTTTAAGTAGGTTTTCTTTCGCCACCGCAGCTGAAAAACAGCTCAAACAACAAAAACACTGTAAAAAGCACTGAGTTTTGGTTGTCAGTTTGGAAAAAGTGGTGTTTAGGGAAGGGAATTGCAAAGGAAATCGATAATTACGAGCCGACCCAGCTTAAGACTTTGCTCGAGCGATCCAACGCCAAAATTAAAAACAAACATGGTTAAACCTCGGAAACGACGATTCCATTTCATCGAAAGGGATTCGGACACAGACTGAACAATTCCTTGAACTGTTTAGCCGGACTTTGAACTTTTTTTGCGCCGTTAAGATGTGAAGATATCATTGCATATTATTGTTTTGATCGTACTCGGTTGTTTTGACCGAACGCTCGGTTTAAATAAATTATTTTTGCACGATGCGTGCGCTTTGCTTGTGCTTATTTATGATAAGCCATCTCGTATTTTTGCATGTATATTATTAACGTAACCACATGATTTTTTTGGTGCTATTTGGAATAAACAAGCACTTGTTAATTTTTTCAAAGACCACAAATTGCATTCGCCCTACGGGCTCGTGAAATTTTGTTAGTCTTTAAAAAAATTTACTCGTGCTTATTTATTCCAAATTGCACTCGAAATCATGTGATTACCTATATCAAATGTTAATTCAGGTCGCTAGCGAGGTCTTACATCTCAGCCAAATGAAATAAGAGAGGAAGTGAGTGCGTGAAAAACCCTTTCCCACTTTATGCTATGTCACCTACAACTACTGATTGGTATTCCTATTGATTTTTAAAATCACTCTATTTTCAGGTACGCTTTCGAACGAGACTGCTGGATATCGGGCATGCAGATGTCTTCAAAGCTTTTATCGGTTGGATCGTTTTGGCCCGTGCTCAACATGTCCACCATACGGCTTTGTTTGTGAGGACGATACAGCAATACTTGCTCCTAACTACTTCTGGAAATGGTCCAATCAGTCTGAAAAAGAGCGTTTCAAAGGTTTTGTTAACAATATCCATTCTAATGGATCAGACTACAACAAGTCCTTTTCAACGTTCAATACTTCACTTCCGAAGCCACTCAAATGTCCCCATGCCAAGTCCTGCAAGGGTGGAATCGACTCAGAATGCCATCAAGGATATCAAGGGAATTTGTGTGCAACCTGTTCTAACGGCTTTTATTTCCGCTTCCACTCATGTTTGAAATGTCCTCACCTAACTGTAACAATAATCTCGTCTATCTTGGTGATTGTTCTTTTTGTTGCTGTGTTTCTAATGGTTCTTTGGGGTGACTCCAAACGTGCAGAGAATAACCGAACAGTTGCAGATGTCGTCATGTCGTGCTTTAAGATTGTGATTGGTTTTTATCAAGTCATTGCTGGTATTTTCTCAGCATTGGCGAAAGTCAAGTGGCCGATCACTTTGATTTCAGTGGAGAAATTTCTAAAAGTATTTGAAGGGAACATTTTTCAGTTTGCTCCACTAAGCTGTATTGATTCTTCTTTGCGTTTAGATCAGCTTGGAAAGTTCACATTGATCGTTGCCTTGAATGTCCTACTTGTTGGCTCACTTTTCTTGTATCTATCTCTTAAAAAACGCTACATCATGAACAAGAAGGACCTTAGCGAAAGCCAGAAAAGAACACAAGTTGAAAGTTTGAAGAAATCTTGCTATCGGAATATTTTCTTGCTGTTGTTGACGACCTACCCTACGACGAGCAAATCGATTATTCAAATTCTACCTCTTCCCGGTGCGTGTGTAGAAACGTGTTTCGCAGACGACAAGAACGACTGTATCTTCCTACTGAGAGCTGACTACTCCATCAAGTGTTTCACTCATCGCCACAGCTTGTATTGGTTCATGGCTTCTCTTTTGGCAATATATCCCGTGGGATTTCCAGTTCTAGCTTTGTTTCTCACTTACAAATACCGTGAGTCCCAGGAAGACAAAGCAATTGCTTTCGGACTTCGAGTGTTCTTTGAGAACTATAAGAAGAAATTTTGGTTTTGGGAGGTCACAGAGATGTACCGCAAGCTGATATTGATCTCATTGATTTTCCTATTTGGATCCAAAAGCCTCCCTCAAATCAGCCTTACTGTTCTGACAGTCAGCGTCTTTGGAGTGCTCTACACCTTATTCCGACCAATCAAGGAAAAGTTTGAAGACCGCTTACAAACATTTGTCTTGTGGGTCATTTTCTTTGACGTTTGCCTTGGTGCAGTTTATATCAAATGGGATGAGAATCAAGAGGAGGGCAAGAACGAATCTGTGTTTGTGAATATCCTCTTCGTTGTTCTCAACGCCTCTGTACTGATGCTTGCCATCGGTAAGTGCCTATGTTGGGTAAACAATGACATAAGGAATGTGCATGTTAGCCTTTAAGACACACGCGAGCTACAAAGGCCTCTATAATTTGCACTTCTTAATTAGCAAATGAGGTTTGCAAAGATCACTAGAGAAGATTGGACTTGGAATCTACCAACTTTTTGCACTACTTTATTCCAACCAAATATCGGCGTAAAATAGCTTTTGTAGTAGTCAGCTCTCAAAATGGAATCGGCAAAATTACATAACGGCCAACATTAAAATAAAACCTTAAGACATTAGGGACTTAGACAAAAAAAGGAAAACTTCTTTCGATTCTGTAAGGCGTTATTCCTGATCATGAGTCAAAATATTTTCCCTTGTATCTTAATAAAAGAAAATGCTTCTGATAATAAACAACGGCAGCTGAGGAAGAGTGTTTTTCCTTCTTCTCGCGCCCAGTCTCTCGGCGTTCGCTAGTTATGATTGGCCCATCGAATAAATGGGGGATGAAGATTCCCGCGCTAATTCGAGCTAACTTTGTATCAGATGAGTATAGAACACTCAGGTTTAATGAGGAATTGCCTTGATTTCTTGCACGACAATTTATGATAACAATTTAGGACATTTAGTGGAAGAATCTGCAAGGAAAAAGAAACGTTGAATTATGTTTACAATGTCACGATTTTATTTTTGTTCTTTTATCTCCAAACGTCTCCGAAGGCAAGTCAATTTTTCTTCTGCAAATTATTACAACTCTTGTGTAATACAAAGCCTAGGTTTTCTGTTGAAGGCTTGTAAGAACCTACCAGTAATAAAATACTTGCCGTCCCTACCATAGTGTTAATTTCATTTTTTTCTTTTCTTTTATCAGGAAAAGGGATTGTCCATATGATGTTATTCAAGAAGTATGTTTTCTTCTGTCCAATGCGATGTTGCAGTTTCCTGCGCCAAAAAGTCGCTCATCTTAAAAATAAAGCGGTCACAAGAACGGGAACATCTGATAAACTGCTCAGCTTCAATGTAGATAGCGACTAGTATTTTCTTGAGCCCTTCACGATAAGGGACCAGTCATTATTTGTCGTCTAGGGGAAGAGGGGGTGATAAACGGATGATTTGGTTTTTTCACGATAAAATTTACCTGATTCCCCCGTGAGGCTCTGTCGAGTGCCAATGATCCCTCTTTTACCCTAATGGTGATGACTAGTGCCACAACGCTTCCCCTGAAAAACAAGTGATCCCCAAACAAAATTTCTCCTCCCCCCGCCATAGCAAGATGCGTCGTTAAGTTACCAGACGGTTGTTATCACAGCCGAATGAGAGGAGGCTGGAACCGAGACTAGATTTGAACTAGTAAGCATATAGATCAGAAGAAAATTCTTCGTAACGAAATTGATGGAGCTATTTGTATTTTGTCTAGAAGGATCGATTTTATGATTTTAAAACCTGCATGGGCGATAGGTATGGATGGTTCAGCTAGCATGTAAAAACAATGTATAAAAGTGTAAAACGTAAAAGTGCAGATGAAATCACAGATTTTTTTTTGTAATTAGTAATGGTTGTCGCTATATCTTCTCCGTCTTTTACTGATGATAATATTTTGAGTGTGGGAATAACTCTAGCAATTTTGAAGAATATCTTATCGAGTAGCTTTTAGGTTATCATAAAATTTTATAAAGAAGCGGTGCAACTGCAGAAATAGCGTTAAGGGGGTCTTGGGTAATTTTAGCATCCCGGGGGATGCCGCTTAGGTTAGCCGTCAAACGTTCCAATCCTTATCAGTTCTTTAAATAAAATAGAACGAAAGAACATTCGATCAGTTTTCTTGATAAACAATCAATCTTGGAGGTAACCCTCGAAACTTTAGCTTTATTTTCTTCGTACCTTCGAAACCTAATTTGCACCTAGCCTCGTTTTTGGGGCTTTATTTCGGGACCAGATCTCGACTACTGAGGGCTTGGAAATGGGCTGTACTAGATAAACTACCACCATCCACTCTAAGAGCTTACAAGGGCAAACTAATTATCTCAAGAAACAGAAATACCTGATAACAAGGAACAGTTGGACAAAATTAGGGATACTTAGAACAGGTCACTAACAGCTCAAGTTGAAAATTGTCAAGCCATTTTACAAGTTTATTGGGGTTTGTCTGGAATTCCCAAATAACATCTTTGAAAGTTATCTTACTTTTCTTACTACTTTATCTTTACTAATAAGACAGTTTCTTTCTCATTTTGCTTGCCATGCATGAAGATCACCAATTCAACAAAACTTACTTGAATTATACCCTGATGCAGAAAGTCTGATAGTGCTGTAATGTATTTATCAACTGAGTGGGAGAGCCAGATGGGAAGTTGTTTGGCTCAAGGTCATGACACATGGGCAGAACAGTGAGCTCCCCATCCCATGACCTTGTGCTAAATACTTTATTATCTAGATCAGGCCCAACCAAACTCATTTAAACCTTTCAACCCCTAACAGAGACAAGTATCTAATTCCTCATTACAGTATCTCCACTAAATAATGAACAAAAAAGAAATGATCACTAACTACAGACTGAAGCTCTTGATTCTTTACCAAATTCTTCTTGTTAATACCATTGTGATGTGCAGAGAAAAGAGTCTATTTACATTTCTTCCATCTTGGAATGTCCAGTTTTTTCCAGCATTGGTCTGGCTGTCATGTACATCCCTTATAGAGGGATTCTGCTGCAATATGTTCCATTAAAAATTGTCTAGAGCTGTACAAGTCATTTCACATATATATAACCTTATTCCATGTATAACACAATCTTTTGTCCATAGAAACTTTTAACTAGTACATGTAAAAACTTGCCAGAATCAAGAAAGTTCACTTAAAAATCTTTTTTTTTTTTTTTTTTTTTTTTTTTTTTTTCAGTAAAACATATCTTATGACCTGTTAATGAAAAGTCACACCATCCTTTAAACACATGAAAGGGAAAAACTCACTTTGTTAACAAGAGAAACTCCAACAAAACAAATAAAATTTGAGCATATGCTGTCCTTTACCACTATTGAATGAGTTTTGGTTACTACAAGGATGTAATTAGTGCACATAAAGAGTGCACTGCATTACAGTATTCCCCACTCAAGGAACTGTGATTCTGGTAAGGACACGTACACCCTACTATTACTAGCAAAGCAAAGTGACATACTTCAAAAATAAGTGTACACAAGTATGGTGAATGTAATTTACACATTAATTGCAAACCAGAGAACAAGTATAGTGTATGTGTAACTCCAAAAACGAGCTTTGTATCCTATAATGTGGAGAAAACTAAAGCCTTCGACATGTGAATGCTGAGATACATGAAACACATACATGAATTGAAATCTCGTAACTTGTTGTAAATATGCATTCTCATTATTGTCATTCACTGTAAAAAAAAAAGACCCGTTTCTACTGGTTAGAAACAAGACAAAACTTCAATGCTGTACAAAAATTTTAAGGGTTCTAGATTTTCTTACTTGATGAAAAAATGAGACAAAATAAAACTTTCTTTCACTCAAACTGAATGGAGTAAAAATATCTAAATTTCTACAATTTGAAGTTGGATTTGCACAAAATATCCATCTATAATCGCCAGTCGTTTTAGAGTAGACATGCGTAATGGCTTCCTATGGTCGATGAGCAGCTCTCCACTCAATCTCTTGTCTTGCCAAAAGAACGAAGATGTGTGAAAACAGAGGATCTCAATTGGAGGGGGGGATATCTTAACTACTAACGGTGAAAGGTTGATTTCAGGCCATTTGAAGATTGATGGATGATTTGCAAGTGAGATCTGTTTCATGAAACACTCTCTTTTTTTGCAAATACTTGAATACACAAGGTTTTTCTTTTCCTCCATTCAAATTAGGACTCTAGCATTAAAATAAAGGCTTTCCCTCTAGATCTATCCTTGAAAATATTTAGGCCATCGCTGTTTCCTGGTGGTGGCATGCTGCTGTGACAGGCACGGCTTCTCACGAATCGTGAAATTTGAAAATTTAGATATATATACAAGCCAATTCGTTATGTTGTATCATAAGACCCCAGGATGGATTTCGTGTCATTCAAACCACTTACTGTTTATCTCCAAAAGAACGTCTGAACAAAATTCAAAGTATTCTTGTTTGTATCACAAATTGATTTTTTTGAGATCTTTTTGTAAATAAACATTCTCTGAGAAAAGTCATGTCTTAAAATGTCAGTTGTACTAGAAGAAAAAAGCATTAATTTTGAGCTGATGATTTATTTCGACCTCATGCTGCTATTGTTGTTGATGCTGTTTTTTCTGTACCCTTTCCTGATCTACTTGTTTTCTTTCTTCTAGAAACTCACGTGTTCACTTACTCAGATAAATTGACAGCAATTTTATCATTTTTCAAGGTAATCGATTTATTGACATGAGCGAGTTTCAAGCCTCCTTGAGTTCCTCGCTTTTTGCCCTAATTATCATCCTTAGCTTCAATTCCCATTAATTTTTTCTGTTTTATCACAGTAATTGTTTTCTGGCCATTCAGTTGTTATTAACTTTTTCTTGGCACTAATGAGCACTAGATTAAGTTCTGGTTGATTTGCGTAAGTCATAGTGTTAAGAAACGAGCAGGTTAAATAAATACATGCGCCCGATTGAAAGGCACACTCCTTAGTTTTCCTCTTGAATTACCAGATGCTGACCGTTAATGGAAGACTGCAACTTTTTAACCAGGATGGTATTATGTTTCTTTGTCTTGATGTCGTGGCTGAGGGACACTAGACTAAGTCGAACAAAGGATAACGACCAAGTGAAAGATGAGGAGAAACACAAGAGCAAAGTGGAGGCGAAAAAGTATTTTCTTGCAGAAGCTATCCTTACATCTCTCATAAAAATAATTTCAATATGATGAAAAACGAAATTAGTCAATTATTTAGCTGCTCAATCGCTCGAGGAGAACGGCAGGGACATATTTAAGTAGAACATAGGATAACAAGTATAAGTCTGGTATATGATATACGATAGGCCGCTGATTGAAGTTGTATAGATACTTAATTTAAACTGCCACAATGAATGAAAATAAATCCACCTTTTACTCTCACGGCATCTGTCTTCTCATACATTTCTATAGGCAAACCCCCACCCCCTTCCCCCTTTTCCCCTTCCCCTATTTGATCTTGTGTATGCACAAGATAAGTATAAGCGATTAGAGGCACGGCCCTCTTTTGGGGAAAGGAGGTGAAATGCAATAAGTAAGGAATACAGTTTTTTAAAGTTGAAAAAGAGTGGCAGCTCGTGGTTGTAACCTTTTTGTCCCTTATTGTAGTCTTATTTCGTCAAACAGCATTATATTGCCAAGTGATCGCCAGTTAAGGAGTTACGCTGAGAACCTCTCAAGTCCAACTATATACCCTTCTTGGTCTCTCGGACTTTGGAGGGAGCACCGTGTATAATATGCTTTTTCAGAGTCCAAAAAGCTTAAGCACGCTTGTTTCGCACTCTTGGAATATCTTTTAATTCAAATTTATACAACCTTGCGATTTTTTTTTCTTTCATCCGCGCGAACTGTTCCTCTTTCCTTATTGCAACCCATTTTTGGTTCTTGTTTTAGATTCAAGGCTGGTTCATTTTAACAACGCGTTTTTGAAGTCACAGCGGACTTAAACCAACTTTGTCCCCAGTATCCTTTTTCTTACCAACCTGTAGGAATAAAAATCTCTCACAGCCTATTTTAAGCCGTTTGTGAAAATATTTGTGGTAGCCATGACCAAGAGTTTATAATCTCTTTCCTCAGATGACATAAAATATTTTTTCCAATTTTCGACAGGGTCCACCAGAAACTTAGTGGAGAAGTGAGAGATTTTTGACCATGTTGACCTTTTTTTGTCGTTCGTCGTTACCATAGATGTCATGTTTTTCAGTTCACGTGCTCTTCTTTGAGGAAGTATATTTTCAGCCGCCGTAATTTACTTATCGAAAATCTTGACAAGTACGAAACAGGATGTACACGCATAAATACAACTAATAAGATTGTATTGAGGTATTTCTCAGAGATCTAAAGTTAAGGCCTGTTTACATGGACGTGGGTTACCCCAGGTAGGTGAGGTAACCCGCCTAGCCGAGGTCGATCAAAAGCCCGCGTTTACATACAATATTACAACCCCGGGATGCTGGGTGAAGTTTCTCGCGGTTGTTATCGCATTTGTACGTAATTAAGAGGCCGTGACTGTAAATATCGAGAATCACTGGCCAGGTTAAAAAAATCGAAAATTCTGACGATTTGCCTGGAAAACCCTTTTAGGGAGATTTTCAAAAAAAATATTTCAAAGTTTGAAAATTCAAATGTGTCCGAGGAAATGGGGAAAACGAAAATTTGGGTTTTTACCTAATTAATTATGCAAAAAATACAGTAAAATTGACCAACTTTAGTGTCCTAGTACAGAGGAAGGATATTTCGTAAGGGATCGGGGGTGTTTTTACTTCAAAATATAATTCATTTGGTTTTTTTAGGGGCTTTGGTTTAATTTTAAAATTTAAATGATTTTTTAACAAAGTACTCTCAAACACTTGTTTTAAAAAGCGAAAAATCGAGCAACTTCAAGCTTTCAAAACGCGTCTTGGTATGTGAGAAATCATGTCACGCAAGTTAAGAGGATAATCGGTATATTTTATTAGATGTTTCATGATTAATCACACAAAGCGTACGCTTCCCTTGCATCAACATTACATAAATACATTTGTGATAAAATGGCAGCGAAAAAGCGATGCATTCTCATCAAATCGTGTATCATTACGTCAAAACAAGGTTACGCTAACAAAAGGATCTGATTACTGGCAACTCGTTCCTTGCTAACAGATACGGAAAATGTCAAACATTCCAGACGTTTCAAAAATTGGTCGATTTACGTCAACGATGGAAAAGAAGGGCTTCAAAAAGCCGATAGATACTTTCGATTCTTGTTCCAGAGTTTTGCAGCTTTCCGAACTGCTTAGATGTAGGGAAGGGCTGCGAGGTAAACCGAAAGCCGTAAAAAGGCCAAAAAAATCAGCCACGCATTATGCCAAAGTACTGACCAATTTTAACCGTTAGCCTTAAAAAAAGAAAATCGTGAAAAAAAAAATTCTGGTGATTGCAATGGAGAGATATTAACCGTTAGTAGTACATTGACCAAAATTTTTGACTGTTAGCCGTCAAAGCCATCACCCCATTGGAACCCTCCATCGAGTGGCCTCCTTGCGCGAACACAAGTGTTTCCTTTTTAAAACCCAACTCAGTAATTACGAAGGCTAACCAATTGGCAGTTCAGTCTATGTAATGAAGCTTCAACATCCCCCCTACCCGGGGAAAACTTCGGCCATTTGAACTTTTAAAGACTGATTTGTTCAAATTCCCGTATGTGGGGTCCTATTATGTGTATATTTCAAGATATAACGCTTGTATTTCGATGGAAAGACAAAACACTTCCGTCCCAAATTCCCAACCCAGTCATGTAAGGTTCAAATTCCCAACCCCCAGGGCACGGACGACAGTCAAAAGCCGTTGAGTTGCCGAGGCTAGGGGGGTGTTAAAGCTTAATCATGAGCGTTAACGTGAAAGAAGTTATCAAGCCGTCCAAGGTTAACCCCCTCAACTATGTTTCTGTTATTGGTGTTGTTCTTGTTGTTATTATTGTTTTTTTCGAGATATGTTACAACGATATAGATAAGATATATCGGCGAGGCTCTTAGGTGCCATCCTCGATCAAGCATGATTCTTCAGGTGTTGTGGTGACTGCTTTATTCTTAAGAAGCGCCAGTCCTTGGCGAAGGAAATTGAAACGTCTCATCGGGCAGACGGTAAAGTACTTGCGAAATAACTTCACATGTGATATTCCCTTTCCTGACGCAGTAAAAGATAAGAACAGAATAGCATAATTATCAATTTTTCAATAACATTTGTATTTTTGTATAAAGTGTTAACGAGGAACCTCTTAGGGTTAGGGTTAACCAAAATTTCCCAATAACTCGCACTCTGACTTTTTTTAAGAACAATTCTTCTTGACTTGTCTAAGTCTACGGGAGGGAGTGCATTCTCATCATTTTTTCTTAATGACCGACCCATTTCAAAGATGGGAAGCGAACGATTGTTAAAATACATCTTTCGTCCAATCAGAGACACGAACAATAGTACTTCACAGTATTAATTTCAGTATGTATAAAATAGAAGCTTATTAGATTCACTGAGGCGTTTTCTTGGTATTTGATAAGGCATGACTCTCAAGCAAGATATATATGGACAGTTTTCGTTCCAGCTGCTTGAATAACTGAGGACAACTTAGTGATCTGAGCAACCAGTAATATTCACTAATCCAATCAGGTTGTATGATAAACGATAACTGCAAAGCTTTCTACCGAAGAGTACCAGCTATGTTGCATAATTGCTTTTAAACAATGATATGCAAGATTTCTCCGAAGTAATTGGTCTAAGAATACAAAAACACTTAATTCTGAGACATAACATAACTAAAACGGGAAAGACAAAATATGAAGCAATATGAAAAAGCAAAGTGGAAATGCCTCAATATACACAACGTATGATGCTAAATTCCACAGATGCGACATTTCTTCCACTTCCTTAAAACTTCCCGGTAATTGCTATTTGCACTTTTAACATTTGTGAATGTAAAGTTAAATTAATCGATAAAACGTAAAGAGCAGCACTATGACTTACCAATGGCAATTAACAATACAGAGACGTTAAGGACCACGAACAGGACATTTACAAAGATGGAGTCGTTCTTGTCCCCTCCTTGACTCTCATCCCAGTTTGTGTAAACTGCACCCAGACAAACGTCAAAGAAAATTATCCAAAGAACAAATGTTTGTAAGCGGTCTTCAAACTTGTCCTTGATTGGTCGGAATACGGTGTAGAGCACTCCAAAGACGCTGACTGTCAGAACTGTGAGACCGATTTGAGGAAGGCTTTTAGATCCAAATAGGAAAATCAATGAGATCAATATCAGTTTGCGGTACATCTCTATGACTTCCCAAAACCAAAATTTCTTCTTGTAGTTTTCAAAGAACACTCTGAGCCCGAAAGAGACTGCTTCGTTTTCGTGGGACTCACGATATTTGTAAGTGAGAAACAAAGCCAAAAGTGGAAATCCTACGGGATATAATGCCAGAATAGAGGCCATGAGCCAATACAAGCTGTGGCGAGGAGTGAAACACTGGATGGAGTAGTCAGCTCTCAGCAGGAAGATACAGTCGAGCTTTTCTTTAGAGAAACACGTTTCTACACACGCACCAGGAAGAGGCAGAATCTGAATAATCGATTTGCTCGTCGTGGGGTAGGTCGTCAACAACAATGGGAAAATGTTCCGATAGCAAGATTTCTTTAAACTCTTAATTTCCCTTAATTTTTGGCTATCGGCTCGGTCAGTTGTGTTTATAATGTAGCGTCTTTTAACGAAAAGATAAAGGAAAATCAAGCCGACAAGTAGGACATTCAAAGCAACGATCACTGTGAACTTTCCGAGCTCATCGAGACGCAAGGAAGAATGAATGCAGCTTAGTGGCGCAAACTGCAAGATGTTCCCTTCAAACACTTTTAGAACCTTCTCCGTTGAGATCAAAATGACTGGCCACTGGACTTTCGCTAATGCCGAGACGATTCCAGCAATGACTTGGTAAAAACCAATCACAATCTTAAAGCACGACATGACGACATCTGCAACTGTCCGGTTATTCTCTGCACGTTTGGAGTCACCCCAAAGAACCATTAGAAACACAGCAAAAAAAAGAGAAATTACCAAGATGGAAGAAGTAACTGTTACAGTTAACCGAGTACATTTCAAGCAAGTGTGAAATCGGAAGTAAAAGCCTTTAGAGCAGGTTGCACACAAAACTCCTTTATATCCATGGTGGCATTCAGAGTCGATTCCACCCTCGCAAGACTTGGCATAAGGACATTTGAGTGGCTTTGGAAGTAAAGTATTAAACGTAGAATATGACGTGTCGTAATCTGGCTTAGAAGAGTGGATGTTATTAACAAAACCTTTGAAGAGTTCTTTTTCAAACTGATTTGACCATTTCCAGATGTAGTTGGGAGCAAGTATCGCTGTATCCTTCTCACAAACAAAACCGTGTGGTGGACATGCTGAGCACGGGCCAAAACGATCCAACCGATAAAAGTTTTGAAGGCATCTGCATGCTCGATATTCCGCAGTCTCGTTGGAGAGAGTACCTGCAATTTAGATAAATAGGTTATTTACATTTCTTACAAAGGCACAAAACTAACCTTGCTTACAGTTAGTTAGGAATTAGCTCCAAGGATAAGTCCTACTTGCGGACACAAAATGAAGTTCGGCGGTACTCAAACTGGCGAGAAATTAATTTGCCAGCCGTTCCTGTTTTGGATTGAGAAGAGACATTTTCTTTTTCCTGCAACGCTATAAAATAAACATGGAATGTCTTGAAGAGAGAGGTTCTGATGGTGAAAAGTTTTAAGAGTGTCTCAAAGACAAAACATCAGTTACCATATGGACATGCCACGCAGTCCGTAGAAGTTGTCCCAGGACGTCGCGTTTCAGACACAAATGTACCAATACTGCATCTTTTGCAATTAAGTTGTCCCATTTCATCCTGATAAAAACCACCTGTGAAGATATGTAACTTTCCCCTTTAATCCGTATGTAGCGTTACAAGATAACGTACAAGAAAAAGGGAAATCGCAATAACGCAAGCACGATCACAATCGCAACCGCGTTAAAGAACTATTTTGCGAACTAAAACAGGAACAGGAAAGTAAAACTCTCTCCAAAATGTCAAAGAACGAGAAATTGTCACGTGACACGGAAAGTAATGTAAAACCGGAAAAGAAACTAAAACGGAAATGAAACGGTAGCCACCAAATATTATGTAAGAAGGATGCAACGACATAAAACTGATTATGAGTGAAAACTGGCCTTATTGGCAGTGGCCCTACAAGCATCAGCTCACTTAATACGAAAAACCAACTAATGAAAAAAAGAAAGCGAGAATGAAAACTTTAAAACGATAGCAAAGGAAACGACAATGGGATAAAGGAAATTTCAGTTAGGATACTAGCACTCGGATTGACCAAGCTTGAGACCTCTTCTATTAAAAGAACGTAACTAACAAAGCCTCAAATTTTCTCTAGTAATGGTGTTGTTGTTCCAAAATTATTTTACTATGACATGAAGCATTTTAAATCTCTTTTATCACCTGCAGGACACTTGACACACATCTCTTTTTGGTACATGAAATAACCAACTTGACAAAGAGAGCAGTTACGACATCCGGAGCCTCTGGGACGAGGCTTACAGGGATGGCACTCAAAGCCTGAACTTTTCAGGCCACCAATGTAGACAAATTCTTTTCCGGTTAAAAGTATATGGAATGTGGTGGAAGGGGCACAGTCACTTAAGTTTAAGAAAATAGCAAAATATTAAAAGCACTTGAAATTCTAATAATAACAAGTATTCAATTCAGTAGACTTTAGCAGGAGCCATTAGGGGCTTCTGACTTAAGTGCATCGTCTGGAAACAATGAATCTAATAGTACAGATGCCAAGACATGATATATGAAATAAGTCATCTTGAAACGTTAAAATACTCACATTACTGACTGATACTGTCCTTTGGGCAGCTGAAGAAGGTTTTTACATGTCAACGATCTGTAGATTATTTTGATGATAATTTTATTGCAGGAGCGATACTCTCAAGATCTGTGGTCCCCACCAACGGTGGTCGTTTATCAAGGTTTTTGTACTATAAAGGGACGAGTATTCGATCTGCCGATGGGCCAACGCTCTTAAGGTCAGCTTACTGTAGTCAGGTTATCTTGTAAGACCCCTTCCCCCCGCCTCCCGCCTCCCTCCTGCCTCCCCCCCCCCTCCACCTCCCCCCTCCCACACAGCACCATGGTTTCTCCAGGACCTTAGCCCCATTTGTCTAATTTTCACGTGCAAATTTTTTCTTATAGGTGTAAATAGGCTTATGGAGTACAATCTCCCGCTCGAGAACACCATATAATAAATTTGCTTAGCTTGTCTCGTACCCAGTCTGTTCAATTTGAGTCCACTGCGTTACCCAATACGAAACCACATATCCTTATACGAAAATCAACAGATGGAAAAACAACGGTGAGATCAGCTTAGATTTAAAAGCTTATTAATCTCTCCTTCAGCATTGACGATCTGCATTAAATCAAGATGTGGCCTTTCGAAAAGCGATAGTCATCTATAAAATATTCAAATGAGTGCTTTGGATTCACTTACACTTTGGTTTCGGTGTCCATTTTGTCGAACATTCCATCTGGTAATAAGTGTAGAGGATTATCAAAGATAGTACTGAAAAATATGTGAATAATGAAGTTAATGATTAATCCAAGCCTACACATAATTATAGAGACATGGTGTTTTCTTGTTTTTTGTCTCTTCTTTTTTACCATATGGTTGATGCGGCTACCGTTTTTACTGCACCGGTATCGCAAAGGTCATGGGTTCAAATCCCGTACGGGCCTGAAATTTTTCCAGGTCCTATTTTCAACTACTCGTTTCAGTAGTATTCTTAGCTGCTAGGATCTCTTACATTCGTTTCTTGACCACAGTGCAAATATATGAATTTCATATATCTAAAATCACCTCTTACATTGGTCAAAATTTACCCTTTGAACCCGTAGAGTGACCAGTATCCAATTTCTCTTAACAATATCATCCACGAAATAAACATTTAGGTCGGGAGAAGAATAGAGGTGATCGCCAACCGAAGAAGCTCTTAATTGTTAAACAATTCTCCATACCAGCACCTTACAAAACGTATACAAATCAGTATGGAGAATATTCACTCTCAGGGTGTAAAGGATTAAGAAAGTCTCAAATGGCAACATCTCCGTAAAAGCAGATCAATGATCCTCTTGATGCCAAAGTGGTAAGCTAGATTAATACATTTCATTGCAGCGTTTAAAACTTCACTTTATTTTTCAATTTACTCACAGTTGTTTCAAGTTAAGTCTGCTAAAGGATTCACTTCCAATCGTTTTGATGGCATTACTGTGAAGAAAACTATATAAAGGAAGAAATGATAACAAAAACTAAACAAAAAAAAACAAACCCAAGCAAGTCAAATTTCTCATATTGTTAACACCAACTGGACTCAGTGCTTGTAATCTATGTTACGCATTGAAACATTCATGTTTATGGGACGTCTATATATCAACCATGTTGATATATAGACGTTGTCATCCATGTCATGCCCTGCGTGTATTACAATGCACCTCTGTTTTACTTTACTGGTTTCCTTGAATATTATATTCTGTTTCCTTATTATATTCCAAGATATACGTTAACTTTATTAAACGTACATGTACTTACACTGATTGCAAAGCAGTTTCATCAAAAGCACCGTTGGAAATAAATGTCAGTTTGTTTTTTATCAGCATGCTGTAAATTGAAAAAGAGTATTAAACACAAAACCTATTTAAGAAAGGATTGTAGACGTAATATGATTGAATAACGTAATAAATAGATAAATAACAACCAAGAGGCAATTTATTGATTAGTGAGTGAGTTAATCAGTCAAGAGGGATTACAGACATGAAAAAACCAAAAAAGGAGCTTACAGTGTCTTCAAGCTTGAAAGTCCCTCAAAAGTGCGATTGTTGATGTTGGAGATGTTGTTGAAGTTAATCATCCTTGATTTAGAAAAAAGAGCATTGCGAACAATTGTACCGTTTGAATAACAATAATAATGGTTATGATGATAACTGTAATGATGTTAATAACAATATCACTTTTTGTGAAGCAGGGCAAGTCACATTTAGGTTTGCGACATCGGATCGAAGTATTTTTATGAAATAACCTCCCAGAAAGCAAATAACATTTGTGTAAAAAGTAGAATCAGTTAGCTTTAATTTTCTCAGCGCTTTTGTGTGGCTGGTTTTAAGGGAGGAGGGCAAATAAGCAAGAAATTATCGAAAACAATGTTCATTTTCCAACAGGATATTGCTGCTAACAACAAAATACAATTTATCATTAACTTGGGAAAAGTGTTCTGAATGTTTACTCACAAAGTTTGTAATTTTCCAAGCTTATTGAATAGGCCATCTGGTATGGACTGCAATTTGTTGAATGACAAGTCACTATGAGGAAGATGACATGAATAAGATTAGGGATAAGAAACAGACGCATCTACTGCGTTTACTTATATAACTATTGGAACCATGCTATTAAAAATACAACCAACCAGAATAAAAGAAATCAGTAGTATATTTTAAAGTATTGCAGCCTCCCTTTCCGATCTTATTCTCCCGAAATTATACGAGCGGTGGCGGCGTTTCCAGTTTATTTTAGGTGTTCTTTGAGTCGTTTCTGAGCCAAATTTTCCTAGGACGTTAATCATGAGGTCGGAAACTCAGTAAAAATAAATATTTAACCAAAAAGGTATGGCTGACTGATCAAGAAGTTGATGTTTTCGCTGAAAAGTGAAGAAACTTAAGCGCAGTGGAGAAAACGAGTTCGGATGACAGCAATTTTGTCAACTTAATTCAAGAACTACCTCATTTTTAAAGGAAAGAGGTCTGACAGAAATTCCCCCAGCCTAATTGGATGACTACTATGCCATTATCACTTTATTTTCGGGAGATTCGAAAGGTCGACGGAGATCAGAGGGGTATGCATATACCGAGAAGATACAAAAACTCGTGGGATATTCTACGGTATACCACTCAAGGGGGTTACATAACTGGTATAAAAATCCATGAACAGTTTGACTTTCCTTGTCTGTTATTAAGTAAAATCTTACTTACATGGAGTCCATAATGAAAATGTTTTGAAATATGTTTGGTGGAAGATAATCGATTTCATTACTGGCCAGCAACCTACAAGATAAAAGTGTTATTTTTTTTAAACTTAAAATTTTATCCGATAAGCTTAACATCGAGGAACGTTAAGGCTTACACAATACTTAAATAAGAAAAAAATACCTTAAACTGATTGACTTGCGAAATGCATTTTTTGACCAAACAATGCACGAGAAAAGCAATTTGTAATTCGAAAAGAGGCAACAGAATGTGTATCGGGGCTTTTGATATAAAAATTAATGACTATAATGAAACATAATAGAATATCGTTTCTTTGACTGATCGCGGCTCTTTTGACTGAAAACACAAGAGCATGTGCAAATTTTGAATGAATCAGTTTGCACGTGATATGCTCTTTGCTTTTGCATGATTATTTTGTTGAAGGTAATAAAGAATCATTCACTCGCAATTTGGAATGAAAAAGGCACTCTTAATTTTTTTCAAAGCCTGAAAACTGTCGACTCGTTTACTCTAATTGCACTCTTGATCTTTTGAAAACCTGCATTTTGCATCTTTTACTTTTTAATAAAGTAATTGCTTTCGACGAAACACCACTAACTTTATCTCCGAAAACTACTCGATGTCAAAAGTCCAAAATGATGTTCTAAAGCGTAAGAAAGAATTTGATTATTGCACCCAAATTTGAGGAAAGACAAACTTTATTGCTATAGAGAAAATTAAGTCGCTTTCTCTAATATTTTACTATTGTTTCTTGTACCAGCGTGCATTCATAATGATATGGAGCACGCAGGAAATATTGTATACACGAAAAAAGCTCGGTGTCAATAGTTGGTTCTTGTTTGCTGACATATCTTTGCGCGTGCTTCGTGTCGTAGCTGACGTTTGAACTAATTATTTGTTAACGCACTAGTTTGAAGTTTCTGTAAGGGGAAATTCGATCTACTACGCTGTCCTGCAAACAGACATGGCATCTGCACGCACTGGAAATATGGATCACGCTTGCACCAATGAATCTGATCACAAAACTACTGCAGGAAACAAACTGGAAACGTCTACTCAAAGAAAGTCATTTGTATACTTACAGCTCAAAGAGGTGTTTAATTCCAGATGTTGCAATTCTTGATATATCTTTGATCCGATTACTATCTAATTTTCTGCCAAAAGCACAACAAAAACTTTAAAAAATTGTGAAAACTGATTTGAGTTTTTTTCTTTGTATTACCTTTGATACTTCAGCGAAGTCTTTCAATGAGAATTATTTGAACGCGTCTTATTTGTTCACTGTTGAAGATCTTCTGAATCGACGCTCACCTTGAACTGAACCTAGTCTCAATTTGTGGCAACCTGCGGTAAGCTTTTGAGAAGACTTACTTTCTCCAAATAACTGGAATATGATTATGCAAGGGTGATTAAAGTCACGAAAATGTGGAAACTAAAAACACGGAGTGGTTCTTTCCAACAATAGAAGGAAATAATACAATAACCATCTTTACCAGTTGTCATTAAAGGGCGTTCGGAGATGATAAACCAGTTTGTAATCTCTAGAGGCCGTGTAATTGAAGTTTTAACATTCTCCCCAGGCACCCCCGGGCTTTTGAACTTATGAAGATTGGTTTCTTCAAATTCCCGCCCCCGGAGCAAAAGTTATGTTCAAACGCCCCAACCATTTTTTATTTTTTTCTTGCGCAGCGACCAAGACTCTCTACATATTGACCAAGCTTTAAAGCCTATACTTCGTAGACCTTTTCTTCTGAGCATTTCCTTCTCAAAAAGGAACTATTTGCCTTAAACGTTCACCTCCGTATTTAAAGATTGAACACTTGTATTCCACTGGAAAGACTTAACACTTCTGGTTAAATTTGCCCACCCCAACAAAGGAAGGTTCCAAATCCCACCGGGCACTGGCAACGGTCAAATGACCGTGGGTTGCCTGGAGAGAAGGGGGGGGCGGGTAGTTTGAAGTTTAGAAGTTTAGGACGCACCATACTTACAGGTTTACAAAAACCTTAGGACCTGTCAAATCTGGTACAGATGTTAGATTGTTCCATCGAAGAGTGCTGTAGAAATCGTACAAACAGCAATAGAAAAAAGCAAATGAGCAAAACGCTACCGTGTTTCTCTTAGCAATAAGCAATGTCCTTCTCTGAGCCTCGATCATATATGGTCAACAAGCAAGGAGCTACAGGATATAGTATATAAAACATGGCAAAACGTTTTCAGTGCAAACTAAAAGATAACTTTTAAAATAGCAGAATTCCGGCCGGTTTTTAATTCATGACATCTTTACCACAATAGGTTTAAACTTTATCCACTTCAAGCGGTCATGTCGAATTAGAATAATGTTTCATTTCTTCGGTATTTTTTTTTCCTTCCTCTTTTTCCTGTCATACATTATTTAATCTTCTGCGTTTGATTGGGAACTTACGTCTATTTAGTGCTACTCCCGATCAAGCGTTGAACAAAGCAGGATATGTCATTTTGATGTTTTTACTTGTGACTAAAAAAAAAAAAAACTGGGCGAAATGACTCCGGATTTAGGGCAACATGACTTCGGGCAAGATGCCTTTAGGGCGACATGGCCGTAAAAAAAAACTGGTCATATCCTCTTGGTATAGATATAAGCATTTCAGGTTTACAATAGCTGTTAATCTTGAACTTGGTGTCTCACTTACCATCTTTGGAGAATTTTAAACTGTTTAAACGTTCCATCACTTATGGTCTCTAATTCGTTTCCGTCAAGGTACCTATCAATTGTTAGAAGAGTCAAAACAGTTCTTTTTTTTTTCTTTTTTTTTTTTTTTTTTTTTTTTTTTGTCTGTGGAGGCGAGGGGGGAGGAGGGAAGAAGGGTCGTATTGCTTCTGCTTTGCATAGATGCATATGAAAGTCAATCGGCCTATCTATTCAAATGTGAAATAAACAAGGCGGTACAAAAGGTACTATCCGTGGTTTAAACCACTGTCCATAGAAACGATCGCGGTCTCCTGAAAATTTCTTTTTAGTAAGTTCTTATTATTCTGTAAATAACGGTGTTCCTTAACGACGATTTACTTACAGATTTGTTAGCTGATCAGTAAGTCCTTCCACCGTACCCTTGTGTATATGAGCCAGCTTATTGAAGGACAGATCACTAAAAACGGACAAATGTGTAATGACTTGTGGATGGTCGGGCTTAGAAAAGTTTCGGCAAAATAAACCTGCTAAGATTGCCTAAGTCAAACGTCACGAGAAGTGTCTGCACAACAGAACATAAAACACAACTTCTTGATCTAGTTAACATTATGTACATATAACTTTCGGAACGCTCTTCTCATGACGCATACCGCGTACAATCGCTCGGACATCTGAAAAATCAATAAATATATCCAAGAAAAAATTCACTCACAGGTCTGTAAGATTTTTCATGGCTCTAAATGTTCCATTTTCGATATCTTCCAGGTGGCAGCCTCTCATGGAGCTATGAAAAAAAGTCGCGAAATAGTTTGAAGTGAAGGAAAGAGTAGAAACTGTCAAACAATGTAACTATGGAAAGTTCTAACAACGGATTTATGAGACAAGTCTATCACGAATGAATTCTCTGTCACTTCCAATGCTTTTCTGATTTTGTTTTTCTTTTCTTTTCAGCCAAAGTACAAACACCATTCCTAAGTCATATTTTAATAGTCAAGAATTTTATTGAAAGAGCTGGATCGCGAGGGGGGATTATTGAACCAGTAGTTTAAAACAGTTTTGTTACAGAACGGCAGCCAACCTCTAAAGAGGTGAAAAACATGTATTTCATTTAAAATTTGTTGTTTTCACTCTCTGTAAAATTGAACCCGCAAGGAAATAACGCAACTTTCTACGTTGATCCAGCTTTATCAAGTTGATTGTAACTCGTGTGAAACATGATCTGGTGATAGCAGACACTTTAAAACGAATAATCATTTAATTTGAGGCGTAGTTATCGGTATGGCCACTAAGTCGAAAGAGAAAAAGCCGAATCGACCCAAAGGAGCACAAATCAGTTGGCTAAATAAACAACATTCGGAAGCAAAACGCTGGGCAAAAACGTTTAAACTTTTTAAAACAAGGGACGTTATCTAAAAGGAACAGTGAGAGAGTAGTCAAGCATGCACGTGACTGATCACGTTCGCACTCGGCGTTTTTATAACAAGTTTCGAAATCATTCGAGAATTTTCTAGAGCTACTAACTTACAGAATATCCATCTTACTAAAGCCAGCGAACATGTCGGATGGCAAAGTAGGTCCGAGTGGATTTGAATCAATATCCCTGTAAAAGTGCCCAGTGAGCAGGATATCCTTGTTAGATAAAGTTTGACCGTTTCGTGTATAGACAAGACATAGGTATTCAAGATGAGTAACTGCGATAGATTATATATATAATAAAAAAATATCATTATTTAAAAAATTGCGACACTTCTGAAAGAAACATAGTAAGTTTTGAGCTTGAACTTAGAACAGAGAAAGCAGTTATTATTTTCATCACGAGCGTGGATCTCTAGGGAAAAAATCAATTTTTCATTAAATATTTAAACCAATACTTTCGGATACCCCCCTCCGATTCGCTGGCAATGAGTTAACGAGAACTGGACCGTGGACTAGGCTTACGGGTCCATACTTCCATACGTTCTTTATTTCTTTCATATTTGTCTTTTTTTTCCCTTTTACTTGTACGACATATATTATTGATTCTGTAAGCATGTGGAACAGGATAAAAGGTCGTACTTACAGTTTTCGAAGCCGTTTTAATCCTTTGAGAATGACTTTTGCGTCAGTACTTGATAGAAAGTTGTGTTTGATAACGCTAGGCAAGTAAAATATTTAGCATTGACTTTTAATGAATTTACTAAGTTTGAAAACATTTTGAAAAACGTCCATTAGGTAAGAGACATAAGCCAACAAACACCGTAAATGTTCTCCCGATATACTGGGTAAATACTTTGCAAAGGACACAAAGATGCCACTTTCTTTTTTATTTTGATTGCTTCACATTAACTAATAGCTTAAGGTGCAGACCTGACGGTCTTTTTTTTAGAGAGAAAGAGGAAATTCATATTTGCTTGCATCACATTTATCGAAGGTCTTCTGTGTTTGCTTGCGATGTAAAGAAAAAAAGGACGATCTGAAAAAAAAGCTACAATTTAATGTAAGGATAAAAATCAGTTGCGAATTTTAATATGTTTCTTCTATCTTTTCAAAAATATATCGTTAACAAAACTCACAGCTGAGATACACTTTCCGGAAGGTAGAAACTCCCTGAAATTAGGTTGTCGGCAAGATTTCTAGGGAAACAATTGTAAGTTCCAAAAATATGAAGGTCAGAAATTGCATATCACATCGTTAATCTAAAATTTATATGTTTAGTTACTTTTAGCTTAAGATTTTGAAACAGTAAATAGATTCACAATTATAAATTAAAGGGATTGGGATTAGCGAAAACACAGGAGCTGACAAGATTTTATGAAAATTTGTGGACAGGAGATGCTTTTAAACGGACAAACATATCAACCTACTCATTCGTTATAAATAAACGCATTCTTACATTATTTCCAGCTTATCCATATTCTTGAAAGTGTTGTAGGGAATGCGTCGAAATAAGTTATTCGACAAGTCACTAGAATGAAAAAAGTTTATTACAATTATTGATCAAAGCTTGCCGAATTAAAATACATGCAAAATTTGCTTCCATTTACTGCACTCTATTTAAACATTTGTACATGAAAGTAAATGATAAAAAATATTTCATTCAGATTGACTAATATAGTTTTGGTTCTCTTTTTTTTTTCTTTCTTTTTTTTTTTTCAAGAAGCTTACAGATAATCAGTAAAATCTCACAGTGCTAAAACTCCGAAATTCTCTCCATAAAAAAAAAACTCTATTTCTTTTGTTCTGTGGTAGGTATCTGAATGCTTAATGTCTGGTCAACTTCTCAACTCTGCTTTAGAATTCTCAAGTCTACCTTTAGACTCAGTGTTTTGACAAATTTTGATTGTTTTTGAAATCCCAAGCAGCGCCCCAGTAGTCAAATGACTGTTTGTTTCCGCTAGAAGATTTATCCGGGTTTTAAATTCTGGCAACCTTGTCATCCAATTTCGATAACAGGTAAGCATGCATAATGTAAACGTTACTGCAAATATATCATCGCGCAAAATGTCTATTGTTCTCGAGAAATTCATGGGCTGTAGCGGATAATTATAGATCTCTAATACTTACGGCGAAGCTTACACTATTTGGTCTTTCCCTTCAATACTGTCGAACGGTTCTTAAATTTCATAAAAAGCTTACAATAATAATAGCAACGATGATAGTGATAATTATGATAACAATAACAATAACAATAATTATGCAAGCCTATTGATTTAACCTGAATCTATCCCATACTTTAAAATTATTTACTTACAGTAATTTTAAAACAGTTAGGTTCCTGAAGGAGTCTTCTGAAATCGACTTTAAGGAACAACTCGAAAGGTTTCTAATGCAGAAATCGACAAGAAAATTAGTTGCAACACTTTTATCATTTTAAAAGCATGAAGCTACGCTAGAAAGTTAAGAAAAACATACTTTAGAAAACTAAACAAAAGTGACAGATGGGTGTTACTGATTGGTAAATTTGTAAATGTGTTTTTTTATTTTTTTATTTTTTTTTTTTTAATTCAACAGATAAACCAAACACTGCTTTCAAATGGCAAACATAGCTTAAACCATAACTCAGTTCCCTTTGTGAAGAAAGGTTTAGTTTTTCTAATCACTTACAGTTCAATTGTATTGCTTGGGATTCCATTCGGAATGTATCCATGAACTTGGCATTTAACTATCACACGGGTCCTACCGAAATTGGTACATTGACAAAATTTTTGGCTGCAAACATCACTCTCGCAAGGTGTTACAATCCACAAGACCAAGATAACTTGTATCAGGCCAATAAACATCATTACTGAGTCCATAGTAATCTGCTGGGATCAAAAATAACTTGATTTTTAAATAACTACACTAATGATTCAAACACCGTTGCGGATTTAAAGGAAGTAACCAAGCCAACGAGAAAGATCACATAGAGTGTTTACCAGTCAGTACGGTTTCAGTTTTGATGATCCTCAATGCTTCTAGAAAGAAACCTGTGCTTTTCGATACAGCTTTCTTTTTCGAAAGTGTGCTCTGTAGGTCACTTTCAAGACACATTGAACTTTACAGCTAGATTGCGCACAATAACAGCGATAATTTCAGTTGAAGAAAAAGTATATCGTAAAACGCGTGCTACAACTCGAGTCCTTGTATCTCGGACACCCTTTGAGCCGTATTATTCGCTGAGTTTCCAAACCCAGATGTGGGAAAGGAAGTAAGCGCTTACTTTACACTCTTTTCTTTTTTTTCATAAAATAAGCATAGGCTGAAATTAACATATATACAACATATAAGAACATGCCTAGCCTGAAAGTCAGCTAAGAACGTCTTTATTTTTCTTCTTTTTTTTTAAATTTTTTTTTTTGAACTGTGGTCTAACAAGACAATCGACTTAAATTTTTTAGGGATTTTGTTTTCAAACTAATATTGCGGTATTCTTATCGCACGATACACTGAAGAGCAACTCATTTTGTAGGATTCCTAGTCACGTCGAGACTGAGTTATTGATATTCTGTACCACGCACAGTTCAGGCTCAAGTCACAAAATAAAAAAGAACATTCAGCCTCAGCTAATAGTTAATTGTTCTTATAATAAAAAAGGGTGTACATAAATAAACAATTTATGCATCAAAAGACTCACCTAAACGTTCCTCACGGGTAAATGAGTCAACAACTGACCTTTTTGAATAGCGAAACGTTGTTATCAACTCAATGTCTCACGCTGAATTGAATTAGGTCGGCTGAGTTGATAGTGCTTCATCAAGTTCATGGGACGTTTTACATTCAGAACCACCCTGCAGTTCAAAATTTTGACGTGTTTTCCTTGAGAGAAAGGATCGAAAGTAAAGATTAGCATACTTTTTTCGCACTAATGCACCATAAAGATATTGAATATTGAAGGAGAGTCTAATGAATTTGTGACTTGCCTGCGAGAGAGTATTTCTAACTGATATAAAATAATACCTGAACAAAACATAGCTATGTGAAGACGATACATTCATATGAGATATATTCAAATCTGATTATACACCATCGCTGTTTCAAGTATCACCCCGAAGTGTCGACGTCAGTGTCTTGAATTTTCGTAAATTAAGGAAACCGCAATGATTTTAAGTACGCTTTATCATGTTCCGTGACACAATAACAAATGTTGACGTAGACGCACGCAAAGCGTTGTTGTTTCAACACTCAGGATTGTTCATGTTGATATCTTGCACGCGATCTTCTAGTTTGAGAGACAAAGAAATTCAAGTTGTCAAGTGAGAATGAATAAATAAGTGACAACGAACGTAGTTAAGTTAATTAACTGTTTCGTGTTCGACCCGAATCTCATTTGCATGTATATCGTTTACAAAGCGGAAAATTACATCAAGTGTGGTTGTACTACTTTGGATCAAGATGATTTTCAAGCATGATTTCAAACACTTTTTGCATAAAGGAAGAGCGTCTTTTTCTTTTAACGCCCAATTAGCATTGTTCCCAATAAAGTGCTGAACGAACAGTTATTTGAAGAGTTTGTTTCCTGTTTGGTTCATGAGCTAAGCTTTCTTACTTTCGTTTGTTCTGCTTTGAATCAAGATGATTTTCAAGCATGATTTCAAACACTTTTTGTATTATATTTTCTATGCACCGCTTATATATTCCATAATAAAACATCCCGTTCGTACCCTTGGCCGTATGAAATAAACAAATCGAAAAAAAAACTTTTTTACAAACATTTTTACGAATAAGGAAGTGCGTAAGAAGAACTACTGAACGAGGTTCCTGTTTGGTTCATGAGCTAATCTTTCTTACTTTCGCTTCCGGTTAGATTTTTTGCACAATGATTGAAAAATAATGATAGGTTTGGAACTATTGTTAAATTGTAGTTAATGTCACAAATCTTGATTACGACAAGAGATCGATAAAGGCTCGTTGAAGAACACCTGAATAAAAAGGTAAGTGATCTTTCAATTCAACTGAATTTCAACTGAGGAAAGCGTCGATGCACGAGGAATTTGAGAGTTCTTCATAGTACGTAGAGGCGGGCGCGGGAAATAGACATTTAAGGCCCGTGTCTGAATAGTCAAAGTAATTAAACCTGTATGAGTTCGTCATGTTTTTATTTAAGGTCGAGATATGAATGATTCAAGGAAAAGTCAAAATTGAAAATATCAGGA